GTAAAGGCACGTGGGGTGTTTGCAGTCGAGTTTATGCGGAATGCCGCGATCGGATCGATTCCTCCGTCCGGTCGCGTCCCGACGCGAGTCGCGACGCTCACCAGCGCTAATCGAACGTCCGGCACTCGCTCCCTCTTTTCCCTTATTTCACTCTTTCTTTTCCTTTCTTTCTGGCTTTCTCACACTCACACACACACACACACACACACACACACGCATACACACGCATACACACGCACTCTCTCTCTCTCTCTCTCTCTCTCACTCTCTTCCTCTCCGACGTGGCTGGTCAGCTGTGCATCTCCGGTCAACCACGGGGACAGCTATTTTTGTACTTCTTCCTCATCCTCCGCGACCATGCCCGACCACCGTCGTTTGTCGCGATTTCTCTCGGGACGCCCTTCGGTTCATGCAGCCACGTCGAGCCACGTAAAATATCCTCCGTCCCGAGTCACCGACGGACGAGCATGACGATCAGATCGTCACCACGAAGAACATCGTCGAGAGATCGGTCAAGGTTTTCAGGCAACGCATGACAGTACCACCAGTATCAGAAGTGGAGCATTCCAGTCAGAACCTAATTTTGATGTATGTCTTATTTCGATTTTCGGGGATGTCACTTTGACAAAGGTGCATAATAAATCACGTTTCCCTCTTTCTTTCGTTCGTTCCCAATGTTATCGTTTCTGTTTTAACCGATACTTGGATTCACACCTCACTGTCAGTCCCATGCTTCACGTGGTTCCGTAATCGTGCTATCTTCGTGCAGTCGGATGAACGCGCGCAAACGACCCACCACGCCTTCCGTGGGTCGGCAGACCGAATCGTAGAGATACGATGCCCTCTCGCTGACCTCTCGCTGGCTCCTCGACCTCACTCGGTCGGTCGGTAGGTCGGCGATGACACCCGGTTCACCCCCTTGCACTGTCGTCTCCGGCCGACGCACTCCAGAGGAAGGTCGCCGAACACTGTTGCTCCGCCGCGTGCTCGTAGCCTCCCCTCACCCCCGTGTCACCGTGTCACAATACACACAAAGTGTCGTCTTGGAGGCGTCTTTTTGTGGGTTTTCGGCTTCGAGTTGCCGACAAAGGCGTCGCGACGCCACGGACGCGATACCTTGGTCGCTTCGACCTGAGTCTCGCGTGGTTTTGGCGAGTCGCCGTCGTGTGTTCGGTCGGAGAACTGAAAACGCGAGAGGAGGCGCGAGACGGGTCGACGTCTCACTCTGTCTCTTTCTCACTCTCTCTCTCCCTCCCTCCCTCCCTCTCTCTCTCTCTCTCTCTCTCTCTCTTTCGACGATGACGACGTCGGCGGTGGCGGCGGCGGGGGCGACGGCGACGACGACGACGCCGGCGACGTCGGTACGTAACGCGGGGGGGGGGGGGGGAGAGACGCGCGATCGCGTACAGCGCCTGCGTATCCCCACTTAAAATCAGCCGCCCGTGATCACCCCCGATCGTCCCGTTATTCTCCTCCGTCGGCTCCGTCTCTCTCTCGCACCCTCTCCTCACCGCACCGCGCGATGACCGCTGATAATATTGATAAGATTCCACAAAAGCCGCGGCGCGCGGCCTGCACTCTCCTCGTCGACGTCGCGCCCTTCTATCTTTCGCGCCAGAAGGTGACGAGTCTCGGGGTCACCGCGTATGTAATCTACGAGGACGTAACAACGTCACGCATTGTACTCTCTCTCCGACTTTATTTCTCGGTTTATTCCATTGTAACGCCAACACGACGACCCGTCCGTCCGACGCCATGTAGGTCCCGTGTATATGAAACTTAACGCAAAACGTGTTTTTGAAGTAAGAATACGAATGGCGATTTCCTCCGAATGAATAGATGATTATCTCTCTCGCGATCTTTTGCGCGCTCGATGAAAGATATTGTCCTTCGCTGTTATGGATAAAGAAAAATTTAGTTCGCGAAGAAGCTTTTCTACAACTTGAAAAATGTTGGCATTTTGTGGAGGAAGAATCGGGTTTAGATTGTTGGAGACATTGCGGGGTACACGCGAAAGAAATAGGTACTAACAGTAAGTGTGACGTATAACGATTACTCCTTCTATTCTTCCTTCCCTTTGCACTTTATTCGTATTATGCCAAAGATAAAATAGAATAAATATTTCAGTTACGCGAGATATATAATGTGAAAGTTTATACAATAAAAAGTTAAACTAGACCATTTATATGAATAACACGAGTAACGGAGAGGAGCGTTAAGTGCGGCCGAGAGAATCTTGGTGCCTTATAGAAATCTATAATACTAGCTAATTTAATACTGAAAGACAGTAATTAATTACTTATTTGTAGTATTAAAAGCAGTGAACAACAGTATATTTAATAACTCCAAATAAGTAATTAATTACTGTCTTTCAGTTTCATACTAAAACATAGTAATTAATTGCTTATTTGGAGTATTAAATGCATTGTTCATCAATGCTTTTGATACTGCAAATAAATGATTAATTACCGTCTTTCAGTATTAAATTAACCAGTATAAAATTAGCTAGTATTACATTTTTGTAAGAGCTAATAATGTTTCTATGTGAATTATTAAATTTTTCAGTTCTTTAAATATTCATTCAAATATGAATGAAAAAGTTTCATTAATTCTTCTCTAAAATTGTAACTATAATTGATGAAAACATGTTTCGCATATTTATTTAAATATGCAATATAAAATTTTTTTAAATACTAATTTGTGCGTCGTCATATACTATAGTATGCATGAGTGTGTGAAATCAAAAGCACATATTTCTGTCAAAATGAAACAAAAAAATTTGTAGTTAATTTAATTTCACGACGAGGGAATATACGATGCATCCAATCGCTCACTGGACTATTAAATAGCAATCAAAGATGATTGATTTCCACCTTTAGATCCAATCAATCACTTCGATTGCAATTTAGCCATACAGTGATCTTAGTAGCAATTTATTGGTAATATCTATATATTGGTAATATATTGGTCAAGAATATATCGGGCTAATATTTTGATAATATTATGCTAATAATTGTGCGGGAGAATTGAAGGGGAGTGGTTGCGTTTCTCAGTTACTGAATGCACACAATATCCGACGTTCTATGTATCTTCCAATTGGATTGATGATCTACTCCAGTAGATCAAATTACAACAGTTCAGTTGAATTGAATACCGACGTTGTGGATTCCAGCCGTTACTTTCGTAGCCATCGCGGTCTCTGTTGGCAAGCTTCAGAAGCATTGTAGAATCGTCGGTATTGGCAAAGAGAATCGCGGGTACGGTATTACAAGAATTATCACAGTCAAGATACCAAGAATTCATGACTTTACCAACATAGCGAGACGAGAGATTAATTCTGTTATAGTAAATTTTTCCTTTATATCTGTTTCTACTAATGCAAGTTAACTTTAATCTTGATTTATCTTGCTTTTTATCTTCTTCTAAGAATTAGAAAAAAATATAAAGAGTGAATTGAATCAACATTAAAGTTTATGTAGATTGATAGAAATGGGTGTAAGTTTCTTCGTTTTTAACGTAAGCCTTCAACATGTATAAATACATCTTTTTTTTTTGTCGTTGTATTATAAACTACACTAAAGCTTCCTCTGCATAATAAATTTCTATTTATCAATACTGAAATCAGATATATCAACAGTAAAATTTAGTTAATTACTTAAAAATAATTATAATTAAAAGACTTTCCAAATTAAAAAATAATACCAGTGTTAAAAGGCGATTGAGCCTGAAAAACAATTTGACGAACATTTCGGCTCCTCTTCGGGCCATCTTCAGTGTTACACAATATATTCTACTTAACTTCATGGAATTTTCCGGCTTTTTATCAATATGTCAAATCTATTGCGTAGAAATTTCTTAGTTCTTTTTGGAATTAATATTTGACCTAATCACTTGGCTATGAAACCACTGTGATCGACACGTATTCAATCTGGACTGAATGTATCTTCTTATTGGAGAAACTGAGAAATTCAGAAATACCGAAACATTTGTCAAATTCTTTTCTATTTAATTAAATTTAATTACAATTATGCCTAACTCTTAGTTAATTTTTTTCTTTCTATATTATGTTACTCAATTTATAAAAATTTATATGCTTTACATTGTTTGTATTATCTCTCTACATGAAAACGAATTTATAAGCTTACACTTATAAGTTTACTTTTTCATTGTTTACGTTATGACGTAAATTTTTTATACGTTGACGTAATCCCGAAATATACGATACAACCATGTTAAAAACTATAACATCGATATAAAAGCGGTGAAGTTGTGTTGGGTACATAAAAGTTCCACAATACCCGTTTCTATAAATTACAACTTAAACTTTATTTTTTTTCTAGTTCTGGACATTAGAAGAAGATAAATCCTAAAGAATAAATCGAGATTAAAGATAAGGCGGGAGTACAAAGTCTTGAATAACGCATAATAAAAAACGAACCAATCAAGGTCCTTCATATTTCTTGTCTTTTCATGAAATAAAGGACTAATTAATTGATTTTTTATGCTTTATGTATTATGCAAAGATCTGTGCTCCGGCCTTCGATATCTGCATCGATAGAAATGAACGCTAATCGTAAGATGTCGCCTATTGCCGGCGCTTACCTTTCGATCTGCCAAACGCGGATGGATCTCCGCCGGTCTTTCGTTTGTTGCGTCGTGTCGATGTGGAGCAGGGTTCTGCGGACGGATCGTCTCCTCAATCATGGTCCTCGCGTAATTCATACGAAATTTCATTGACTAGGACGCGAACGCGAACAAACTCAATGGGCACTCAACAACGACTTGAACATAGCTGCGCGACGGATTCGTTTGAAAACTGGCGGAGCCGGCCGGTATCGGGCGACTCCGGCCGCGCTCGGGGATCCTCGGCTGCCGGCGGTGCGGCTCGCTGCCGCACGGGGTTCACGAGAGTCGAAGCACGGAGCCCCGCCCTGCCTGCCGCCCGTCAGAGCCGTGAAGGAGGAGCAGCAGCAGCAGCAGCAGCAGCTCCACTTGTCTCGTTCGAGTTGAGAGGTTCCGTGTGTCGTCGTCGAATGAAAACAATCGCCGACGTCCGACCGTCGTCGGCTGCTCGAGACGTTCTAGTCCCCGTAATCGCGTACTCCGCTTTGGCGCCACGCCATCGTGATAACGCGTAGCGGTCGCGGTTAGCCGTCGCTCTCGTCGTCGTCGTTCTCACCATCGTCGTCGTCGTCATCATCGCGGTGTACCCGTCGTCGCGACGTCGGTTAACCTTAAAGAGAGCGACGGGTGCGGTGGTAGTGTTTTCCTTCCGAGGAGGTAAATTCGAGTACATCGATACTCGAGGCGAAGAGGTGTGACGAGGAAAGTGCGTAGTCATCGATGTGAGAGTCGAGGACGACGAGGAAGAGCAGAGGGAGCGAGAGTGCGAAAGGGGAAAGAGAGAGAGAGGAGAGAGAGAGAGAGAGAGAGGGACAGAGAGCGGAGAGGCCGAAGCGTCGTAAGCCGGGAATTCCGACGATCGCAGGCTCCGTCAGGGAGCACCAGGTACGTAACACCATAATTACGCGTTCCAGGCTCCTCCGCGACTTCCGGATGCGCCGTTCCTCTCCGGCCGGCCCTTCCGCGCGACTCGATAACCGCCGAGAGCCATCATGGCGGCCGCCTAGGCCTACGCTCTCTGTCAAAATCTCGCAGGCTGCCTCGCCGTTATTTCGATCGCGCGCCGCTCCGCCGGTTGTCCGGGCGACGGCACCGACGGCGAGCCCGGCCACGAGAGCGGATTGATTCCGGAAATTCCTCGCGTCTCGAGACGACGACGCGCCCGTTCGCGCTCGCGAGAGAGAGAGAGAGAGAGAGAGAGAGACCCGTCGTCTTTTTCCCGTGTCCTGCACGACTCTCTCGCCCATAAAATGCCTCCTTCGATTTCATCTCTGTCTGTAGCGCGACGTCGGCGAAACATGTTCCGAAATAGAATGGGCGTCGAGATTACGTGGGTCTGGATGCATTATCGATGGGATCATTGATTGGAGTGGACTTCTCCAATCGAGATTGCCGGGAAGATTCGCGCGATGTACGTGTATGTGTTCTGAAGGCTTAAAAAGAGCGTTCCGAACCACAGTGAGTCAGAGTCCGGCGATAACGAGACTCTTCCTGCGCGAGGAGAATTTCCTCGTTGTTGGATATTTCAGAGAGAGAGAGAGAGAGAGAGCGTTCACGAAACGTCAACGGAGTCATTTTGTTAGTTTATATTTTCGTGCGAATTTGTTGGCATTTTTCCCACCCAGATGTGACGGATCCTTCAACTAGTGTCAAAAATTTATAATGAGAGAAAAATGTGTTGTCAGCTCGGTTCGTCTCTATTTCTTACATACATAATGTACATATAATACACATTCAAAAAAAGCTGTTAACTTGACTAAAATTACTACAATTGCAGAACAAAATAGTTCATCTTTATTAATTTTAATGAAGAACGTACGTTATAATATTTGAATTAAACATAACATATAATATTTTACCTAAATACATACATTCAAAAAAGTTACTGACTCGATTAAATTACTGTAGTTGTAGAAAATACAACATATTAAATACATACCTTTTCCAATGAAAGAAATAAAGGTTAACCACACTAATTTAATTAAGTTAATAATTTTTTTTAATGCATATGTTTAATATAATTTGTAAATAATGGATATATAATAGCCGAAACGTACAAACCTCTATGTAATTATACGTATATTATGTCATAATAAACTATTATTTATAAATTTCCGTGCTAACTCCATATTAGCCAATGTAAATTTCTTTTTTATTGCACACTATATATTTAAGTCATCCATATTAAATTTGAGTTTAAATACACGCATTTGTCAACGATATTAATAAGTTTCTCTCTCTCTTTTTATTTGTTTACTATTATATTTGATGAGTACATACATCCTGCAACTATACTAATTTAGTCAATCTTTTTTGAATGCATGTAACATAAGTCATATTTTGTATTATTTTTTATTTAAATACATACATTTTTCATCCAAATTGATAAAGATACTAGTAAAGATAAACTATTTTGTTTTTGTTTATCGTTTATACCATACTTGATAAGTATATGTATATATGTATAATATATTCTACAATTATACTAATTTTAGTCAAGTTAACATTTTTTCTCAACTTATGTATTTAAGTCAAATATATTTGATTTAAAATTAATAAATACGAACAAACTATTTTTTTGTATTTATCAATTTTAACCTTATTATTTGATAAGTACTTACATTCAGTCCAACTAAATTAATTCAATCAAGTTAATAACAGTATTTTCTTTATGTAATATTATTTACAGAATTGAGCAAATCTATTTCAAGTTGTAATTCATGCATTATTACAAGGTTTCTAAAATGATCATGCGATATTGTTCTGAGTTTTTTTATATTGAATATTTTGTCATAAAAAAAATATATATTACAATGAGTGCAAAAAGTGTTCGTGAAATGTTTTTAGAAAAAAAAACCGTATTTGTAGAAAAAAAGAAATAAACGTTAACTAACAATTTTATACAATGAACATTCTGTTCTAACATAGACAAACGAGTTTTGCGTATTTCTTGACTTTATAAGCTAAATTTCCACTTTTTGAGCGTCTAAACAATAAAATTTTGAACTGTCGCTTATTTTAGAATGATATTTTTTTCTATAATTAATATACATCTCTTGGTATTGTTACAATTTTGAGAAATATACAGTCTATTTTATTCTTCATGAATAAATTATCCAGCAAAAAAAGGAGCGTTTAATAATTAGACGTTGACTTGACATTGAATTGGTGTCGAAATCATCGGATCGATATCGATTCGACATCAATTCGATGACTCATTTCTCGCTAGATAATATTCACTTTTTAAAAATAAGTTTTTTTTATATTTTCTCTGTACGAATACCTTTTGCACTGACTGTAAGTAATGTATTCGCCAAGAAGGTGCATCACGCTGACGAGCCTTGAAATTACGCGACCGTAGCTTTCAACGCTCTCATCTTCAGGAATGTTGCGTGTCACGTCGCTTCGGAGTCGTTCCGAGCACACCGGTTTTTCCTCGACGAGCGATGCTTATGACGTTTGTTTGACGACGACTCGGGTTATCTCGCGGCATACAATGCGCGTAATACGAGTTGCTTTGCATAATATATGATGCTTCCGTGAAAATAAAGTTCGTCTCTCCTCGGTGTAACTGGTGAGTTGGATTTTCATTTGATGTAAGAAACGTGAAGGCAAACAAGTGTCCATTGTTTTCCATGGAAAACCAAGAGGAAAATGTGTCTATTGTCGACTAAACTTTACGTACTGAAAAAGAAGTCTGATAATAACAATTAAACCATAATAGATAATAGTTGTCAAAGTTTTGACAGAATAATTTTAATCATGTAATTGGTTAACATCTTAACATAACCAAATGGCTAATTTTACTTTTCTAATTATTACTAAATGTTAGTATTTTAGGTTAATTATTATATCTCTCTAAATCTGAATCAGTGGATAATTCTTGATATCAGTGCCAAATATACCACTGGTAATCAATGAATGAAATGTGAGACCCTAGCGGACCTTTATGTGATCTTTTAGTGCATAAATTCAATAAATATAATATTAAATGATTGAAATTAAGGTGCAAATGTCAGTATTTTAATTATATAATGCTCAAACTTTCTTTCTTTTTTTAGTTAAACTTCACTGATTCAGATTTATAATAGAGATTATTATTATGTTTGATAATATTTACTAAGTATTGTATATCGATATGCTAAACAAAATATATTTAGTAACAATTTCCATTTTAATCTCGACCGGTAGGACTGCGCTCGATATAATAATTAAGAAAACAATTATTAATTTTTAAATTATTTATGACATTTCGTTATTTTATTTAGAGATTGAACTCAACGATGTGTATAATAGTAATCACATTACTCATCTGTTAAAAATAGAGCTACTAAATTTATAAGTTAAAATGTCACGATCATGTTTATAGAAATCGTAAATAGGAGTGATAAAAAATGGTTGAATAACAACGTAACTGATTGGGTGTTTCTTGCTAAGATTAATTCTTAACTGGTAGTTTCTATACTGAATCTTTTGCGAGATATTCTCAGAAGCGTGATGCAACGGAAAGAATTGAATTTTCTTATGTAACAAGTGGCGATTATGTTCGAATTCTGTTAACGTCAAATGTATATTTGCTGGATTTATATTTATCATATCAGTAGATATTTTTTAGCGACACGAGCGACCTTATACCGTAAAAAATATTCAGCTCAGGAAATAGTTTACGTGAACCATATTTATATAAATTTCATGTTTTTCCATTGTTCGGTGTTTTTAGTAAATCTTCACGTATCACAAAATTGTTTTGTTGCCGTTTTAGAAGCACGGACATTTTGACGTCATTCACTGGATTTCCTGGAAACCATTTTATATCATGCAATAATCAGCTTGACCGTTTCAGACAGAACTTTCTTTCTCTTTTATTTTACCGTAGTTATCATCATAGTTTTTGTTATACGGATTTTTAGCTGTCTCATGGTACTTACAATTGTTCGAGTCAGGAAAAATGATGACCAACAGCGAGGACACGCGTAAGCACGTGATCCACGGTTCTTATGAGAATGATCTTTGGCATTTCTTGGATAATAAACCTTAAACGACAGGTCGCGGGTTAATGATCGCAATAGGTCGAGAATGGGGAAAGATAGACGATAAACAACAGGCGACTGCTGTGCTGCGCGCTACAGGTATCACATTGAGATCGCTCGCTGGCACTTCAGTTTGATGCATCAGACGAGGGGATACGTCATGCGACGTTCTGTGATCTTGGTGAGACACAACGGGAGGGAAAGAAATTTCTTGCGACGCGTCACATTCCATCTTGGAATTGGCCGACCAATTGCCGGCCGCAGCTGTCTTAATCGGCTTTAATTGCTTCGGAATATAAAGCCGTCGTCGCGCAAGCTAAAGACAAGTAATGTCTTGAGTTCAATTGACAGTGTCCTACTTGAGAGTAGCGTCGGCGATGATATCTATGGTTATCGGCATTCCCGATTGAGTTGGGCCAAGAATCAGTTGCATGTCGCGATAAATCGTTCATGTTTCCTCCATTCCTACGAGACTTCATTGGCACGTGAAATGCTCTCTTGATAAGAGACGAGAGAGATGCGGTTGTTTCCATTAGTATATTATAACAACGCATCTCGTATCATTCAACTGTATTTCTTTAGTGCTATTTATAGCAAGTCCTGAATTATTCTGCAAACTCTATCTTGACGTGAATCGATTTTTTTATTATGAATTCGGTCTCTTGCATTACACTAGATTAATGCATATACTAAAAGTTGCACAGAAAGAACGTTTTTGTTGAAAGATATAAAATTTTATTGAATATAAATCTGAAAATAATTTCATTGGAAAGTCAAGCTGGTTATATTGAGAAAAAAATATTTGTAATTCTAATTACATATTACTATCATAATATTAGTAGTAACAACGATATG